TATCATACCCTGACCGGAAATATTTGTCTAGAGTAGTGATCTCCTGGTTGTGCCTCTCCTCTGATCTCTCCTTCCTCAAGGACAGGGCTATACCTCTGTCATTACAGTATCTATTGTCCTTTTCACCTGCTCCTTCTGGCATGAGTGTTCTACTCCCATTTAGTAGCAATGACAAAAGACAGGTTCAGCACACTCTCTGTTGAATTTCTGCTCTTAAAAATATTTTATTTATCACTTCTACTAATTAACCTGATGACTTTATATCCATACACAGGTGCCAAGGATCCTAATGCAACCAACCATGACTAGTAATAATCAGATACATATAGATTAGAGATGCATGTGCCAATATCTAAGTGTTATTAGCAAAAATAATGAGTCTTTCTGTAAGAAACAGTATATTTTAAAATGAAATGGAGATCTTTCTTAAAGGTTAAAAACACATTCAATTTTATGTCTTACAGGGCCTATACTGAGTTTAATATTGTATAACTGTATTAATTCAACTGTGAACCTAAAAATTTTATAGCCACTTTTGAAAGAGATGTATCTTTGCTCTGGAAAAAACAAATTGCACATGAAAAAACATTTTATTTATTATTTTTATTTTACGTATATAAGTGTATTGCCTGCACTCATTTCATGCAATACCATGGAGATCAGAAGAGGGCTTTGGAGTCCCCTGGAACTGGAGTTAAGGACAGCTTATAGCCACCATGTGGGTGCTGGGAATCGAATCTGGGTCCTCTGCAAGAGCAGTCAGTGCTCTTAACAGCTGAGCCATCTCTCCAACCCTGAATTTCTGCTCTTAATTCAATAAAAAATCTATATATTGAAAAAAAAATCTCCAGATGTTTTAAACATTTCCCCAAATACCATCACAGTTCCTTCTTTGATAAATTGTCTCAAGAAAAACAAAACCCTTCCTTCCTTCCTTCCTTCCTTCCTTCCTTCCTTCCTTCCTTCCTTCCTTCCCCCCCTCCCTCCCTCCCTCCTCGTCCCTCCCTCCCTCCTTCCTTTCTTCCTTCCTTCTTCCAAGAATGTTCTTTTAACTGCCTTTGACATGCATTAAACTGTTTCAACTTAAAAAAAAAAGCACAGTCTAGAAAAAAATTCAAACAGGTATAACTAGCTACTAAACTTCCAGCAATGTCCATTTCCTGCACATTACTTAATCTACCATTCTCCAATTTGTAAAATTCTTCTTTCTCTGGATTTATTCTATTGAGGGTCCACAGACTAAAAATATAGAATTTTTAAAAAATAGATTATATATAACAGATACTAAAAAGTGTTTCCTAAGGGATAAATGATGCTTTGCATGATAGGAAAATATGAACTTTATTTTTGACTAATTTGTAAAATAGTGAAAAAGTTTCTTGAATCTCATGAACTTTAAAAGATTCTTATGGAATTTCAATTTTGATTTTCTTCATACTTTCTTACCTATCATCTCTTTGACACTATCAGGCATTTTTTTAAATCCATAATTGTGTCTAGTGTTGATTTGCTGATGGGATTGTTATCACCTATTAGGCATATTTGCTCCAAAATGTTCTAGGAGGCTAATATTTTATTTAATTAGGTAGTGATGAAATGAGTGCTTGGATTGGCTCTTCTCCAAATGACTTGGAACAAAAGTGAATTCATATTTTGCATAACTTGTAGTTTCCGTCTCAGGTAGAGACAGTAGATCATGATAATTTCTGCACCCAAATTGCTCCGTTCTGCTTCATGGTCCCTGCACACAAATCGTGCACAAGGTGACACTATGATCATAAACCTAAAAATCAAACTGAATTTATACATCTTGGAAACCATATCTTTACCTTGAAATGTTTAAACCAAAAGTTTTTCTCATAATGTCTTTTGATCAATATAGTTAAAATAAGTTGTTTATTTTGATGGTAAACTATTCAGTTTTTATTTCTTATAGATGATAGATCTCTATTATGATATATTTCCTTATGGTAAATGACTATGCAGAACACAATTTAAGTATCTCAGTGGCTCATGACTTAAAACAAGATAAAAATGATAGAAAAACTTCAAAGACTGAAAATGAATAAGTACTTGAAGGCCATGAGAAGAGAAAGAGTTATGTATTTACAAACAGGAATGAATACATATGAGGACAGTTCAAATATGAGCACTGAGTGAACATTTATAAAAACAGAAGAAATAAATCTTGCTTGCACTTTTAACTGATGGGAAGTCTGCTAAGCTAAAGTAGTTCAAAATCACCAGTTGAGAATATGAAGAGATGGCTCAGCAGTTAAGAGTGATCCTTCATTTCCAGAAGACCCTAGTCTTGCCCTGCACCCACATCCAGCAGCTAATAATTGCCTGTAACACCAGCTCCAGTGGATCTGATGCTCTCTTCTGGCTTCCCCACCTGCACTAAAGCCACATACTCATACACATACATATCATTTAAAAAAATAAATATTAAAAAGATTTACAAATGCTAACACAGAATTTGCCTCTCATTTTTTCCCCATTATTGGTCAGTAGAGCACACATCAATACATGAAAGATCAGTTAAGTGCTGGCAAAGAACAACAGGACTATTTTAGAAAATGTTATCACTGCTATCTACATAGTAAGTAGAGGTGGTCAAGGGAAAGGTCCTAATTTCTTTCATTTCATTCAGCAAAAGAATTACTATAAAAAATGCTTAGAAAATATTCCAAAATATTCCAACCTCCATCTAATACTGTTTTATATAATTCAGTAAAATCAAGTAGTCGTATGCTCTGAATACTTCTAGACAATGATCATAATTTTAAAAGAAACTTATGAAAGTTATTTCTCACACTATAAATCCACACTGAAGCCATAAATTAGAATGCATATTATGAAAAGATATTTTCTATTATGATTTAAATTATTCAAGAGTTTTAGCATGAAGATATTTCATAGAGATGCTGTTATTCATAATTGAAACGTTTCATACTCAAGCACATCTGATATTTTTCCATCTGGTCATAGCATTAGAAAGCAATTTTTTATGGAACCAAGAGCCAAATTAGGCCTTGTGTGTCATCACTTTAATCATCTTTATACTACCTTCAAAAATAAAGTATTTTTCTAATTATAAAGATAATTTGTTTTTCAATCCTGGAAAAATATAGACAAGAACAGCAGTATAAGAAGAATCAATCACTGGTATAACAACTGGAGATAATATATTCACTATTTTTATATATGCACGTAATATCATGAATAATGATTGCACCATTAGAATTCTTTAATAATATAGTTTCATGACTAAATAATACCTCATTGTCTGGTCAAATTACATGTCATTTAATTATAATTTGTTTAGGCTGTTTATTAAATTTTTTATTCTGTGTGCATACATATGTTAATTTTATCAATTACTTATTTCAGATGGATTTAATCATGAGAAAATATAAATCCATACAAGTTAAAGACATGAAAGTTCATAACCAAGATTATATTCTCTTCTGTTTGATTTTGTGATCTGTGTTTGTAAGAGTGTCTGTCCTAGTTTCTTTCTATGATATCTTTCTCAAGTAACTGAGTGTAGATGTTAAACTATAAGCTACGTATGATCTCTCTTCTTGTTGTGAAGCTCTCAGTAGTGTAACTTATTGTTAACAACTTTATATTAATAAACTATTGTTAACATTTCATCATAAAATCAATCAATTCTTTTTGAAGCCCACACAGTTTGAAGAAAACAAATCAGAAAAGCAAACACGGTACAAAGAACTACACAGGAAGTGATAAAACACATCCAAAAACAAAAATCAGAACGAGACACTCATTTCCTTAATGGGAATGGTAGAAAAAATTTAAAACAGGAATGGTTATAGTCAGCCTACAAAGTATAGTCAGCTCCATTGATTACCAACAGGCAGCAGGTTTAAAATCTGGACATATTCTGATAATTTTGGTTATTATTGAAAGAGATAAAGTATGTTAAAATAAAGGTTAACAGTTTTGCTCACTTCTACAGATCATGAAAGCATTCCAGGCAGTTCTGACCACCCTTAGGTAGGTTGTCAACACCAAGGAAAGTACATTATCTAATTCAAGGGGAGAGATGAATCAAGAATTTGTCTGGAAAGCATGAAGTTCACTGGCCTGCTATGTATAATCTCTAAGGATAATGACAAGCAAGCAAAAAAGTCCACTGACAAGTTTAACAAAAATATATTTTTCAAGACTATTTTTTTAAAGTGCAATACTTAGATTTATGTTTTCAGAGTTATGAAAACATAACAATAACTAACAAATGAGTCAGATAATCATTGTTTAGTGTAAAACACATTCAGAAACCTCTACGTTCAAGCTGGGTGTGATGGTGTGCACCTGGAATCCCAGCACTTTTGAAGTCAAAGTAGGATGGTTTTGAGTTAAGACCAGCCTGGAATACATAGTACTAATCTGTCTCCAAAACAATAAAAAATTAAAAAACAGTCAAATAACCAATTAATCAATTAAACAGATCTCTACACTCAAACATCATAGCTCAGATTTAAATAAGGATTGCAAGGAATTCATTTAATTTTTGTTCTCGATTTTTCTAAAATTTGATGGGAACATCACTAGGAATAAATTTTCCCTTCATAGATACTATTGGAGCAGGATCACAGAGCATGTGCCATACTAAAAACACATCCTAAAACAATTGAAAGCAAAAATACATTAATACATGATGTGTCCAATACTTTCCTTCATTCTAGATAAGGTATTTCACTTAACTTTGCAAACTAGAACAATACTAGTTCACCAAATGGAAGTTAACAACTTGGTTCAATGCATGAAGCAAAAATAGGTTTACATAAATATTTGCCATGTATTAAAAAGTGGAAACATCACTAGGTTTCAAAATATTTTTTGTTTTGACTTGTTACTTATCCTATTATACGTAACAAGTAGTTTTCATTTAAAAACATGACGCAAAGCAAATTGCACCAAGTGATGCATGCAATATATTTTCCAATGTGCCACATGCTGTGGTTTCTTACTGTAGTGAACACAATGTCCTTCATGTAGTTCTTATTTTCTTCCTTTGAAAAAAAAAAAACAACATGTATTTCCACATCTGTTATTGTTTTGTGGGTATCTTTATAGCCATAGTTCAGTAATTCAAAGCACCACTATGTAGTGTGTGATCAGAAAGGAAGCCCCAGAAAAGCTGCACAACAAATAAGACACACTGAGGACAGTACAATTCCCAGTGCCTGGCTACCAACTCTATCCTTGTCTTTCCCTTTTCTTATTTGCATGTATATGTATCGTCATGGGTGTGTATGCCTATTTATATGCATGTATGTATTTGTTTGTGTACATATGGGAGAGCAGTGTGCTGTGGGGTGGCAGAGTTTGATGTCTGGTGTCTTATTCAGGCTCCACTTTAGATTTTGAGAAAGGGGCTCTTGCTGGACCCAGAGTTCCCCTATTAGGCTAAATTGTCTAGACAGAAAGCCCTAAGGATTGTCTTGCCTTTGCCTTGCCAGAACTGGGATTATAGGCATATCCCACCATACTTGGCTTTTTATAGGGGTCCTCAGGGACTCACGTTCAGGTCTTTATGTTTGCATGACAAGAAGTTTATTCACTGAGCCATCTCCCAGCCCTTCTTTTCTTTCTCCAATAAGAATAGGAAAATCAACTGAGTGAGAATAATAATAATTATATAAATAAATCACATCAGTTTAATTTAATAGTGACCACAAATGCAAAAAAAAAAAAAAACCAAAATAACAAACAAACAAAAAAACACTCTCAAACTTTAGAACTTTAATAGTAGTGATTACTTATTTTCTGCTCCAGCCACCTCTGCTGCCACAACTCCTCACCATGATGGACTCTTTTCCCTCTGGAACCACAACCCAAATAAGCTCTTCCTTCTATAAGCTGTCTTGGTCATGGTGTTTTATCACAGTGACAGAAAAGTAACTAATACACTAACCAATTAAAACTCAACTAAAGTTAACTAACATCTACTGTGGACTTGGCTAACAACACAGTGAATCTTGCTGGTAAAAGAATAGAACTGTTTTTAGGTAGTTCAATTTCTTTCAAGTTTGTTACTTGAGTTCTTTCTAATAGATGCTTCTACTGCATTGTAAGTAGCCTAGAATATTCCCATCATTTGGCTTTTTGTCTCACCTTCAGTAGATTTTAGATTAAGTAACATTTTACACAATTACTATTCAAAGGAAAGTAAAGGTTTTAGAATTTTTTATCAAATAGGAATAGTCTCTTAAATTTTCTCCCATGTATCCATTCACATACTTATTCAACCCTAGTGCTTGCACTTTAGCAAAAAGTAAGTAAAAGTGGCTGCTGCTTTAGTGGCAATTATATTGGCTCCTCATAATATGTGCAGAAACTGTTTTATTAGAAACCATTGCCTTTTAATTTTGGATAAAAAATATGAAGTCATATGTTTTTACGTATGGTTAAATACTGTAGTATACTGTACATGCATAATAAATATAACCATAGAAAAGGCAACTGGGTAGAAAAAGACTAATAAGACTTTTAAGCAGACAAGAAAAAATAGAAACCAGGTACAGCTTCCACTGACTAAAAAGTTCTTTAATAACGAGTCACTGCAGAGATTCATAAATAGAGAATTTCTGTATGCAAAGCGAAGAAAACCCATAAACCATCAACTTATGGAATATAAGCATGGAATAAACTATGCATTTCTGTCTTCAATTAAATGCTAACAAAATGTCACTTAAGAATGATACCAGAACGTGCAACCCAAAACATGCCACTCTGACACAGGATTACTTCGAGCTAAAGGCACTTGAAAAACAGCATATATGAGGTGGCCACATTAATCTCCCCCTTCTCACAAACAAGAGCTAAAAACTCCCAGGTGAAAGCTGTCCTCCCTCTAGTTGAAGACAAGAAACATTAGTCAATGGAGAGTCACAGCTGAGAAAATTCAGCACAGATACTTTGTTAAAATGTCTATCTTCCTTCAGCCTTTCCATATAAGTTAGGTATTTGGAAATTATCTTTGTTCAGCTTAATACAAAGGTAGGTAGGTTTCACCACTTTTTGAGGTTTTCATTTTTTATGATGGCTCTTGTACCATATAAAACGTACATTAAATTTGTATGCATCTTTCTCCTGCTAATCTGTTTTTCATCAATTTTATTGTCAAGCCCAGCTGGGACCATAAGAGAGCAGTGGTGAAATGTATCCTTGTCCCCACTTAGTATGGTTTATATTACTCCTCCATTGAATGAAAGATTTAGAAAACTGATAACTGTATGTTTTTCTTAAAATATATTTTGCTGGTTAAACATTATATGAAAACATAAGTAGAAGATATTTCTATGGGGAAATGAACATGGTCTAACTGGACAGTCAGCCAATTGAGAGCATATATGTCCAAGTATTTAAAGCATAAAACACACACACATACAAATACACACACTCTTTGATAGCTTAAATATCTATGATATTCAAAAAGGAATATACAAACAAGTGTTCTATTACAAAGTTCCGGACTCAGCTGAAGTAGCAGAGTAAACTGTGCTGGTTTTATTCTTTCTACCACCTCTGAAATGCAATTCTATCAGCAACAATATACCAGATGACTCACCGGCCCGAAGGAATTACTATCAAAACTGTGTCCATGATGATCGCCTTCAACCCACATGTGACCACGGGGGACTTTGACGTACCGGTTTTTGTGTCCAATGGTTCTACAAAGAAACAGAGAAACCAATGTGACAAGTGCAGAAAGGAGACATAACAGCTGGGGACAAAATCAGGAAGAGCAGGAAAGTAGTTATAAAGATGCAACAGAGTAGTCAACCCTGAAACACATCACAGGCTTCTTTCAAGTAAGATGTGGTTTGCTCCCTAAACCCACCCACAAGTTTTCTTTCTTTTCATATTTTTATAAGAATTTTAATTCTTGCTTAAATAGAAGGCACTAGCACCAAATATGTTTTTCTGTGTAATTTAACTCACTATATACTAAATATGTTTTTATGAAATTGTGACACCTTAACAACATGAAAGAGCTGTTTGCGTCGCTACATTTAAGCTTTTGTGCTACTGCTCAAATTTTCCAATTTACTCATGGAAATTAAGATTCTAAATTTCAGCATTCTAAGACATAAAAGGAAAGAAAAGAATCTTGATGATCTTCTGTCTGTTATAAGCTCAGTATTAGTTGAACGCTTTGGATCAACACTACCTTGTTCTTAACAAGAAACCTTTGAACAATTCTGAAAATTACATATCAATTATAGATGACACTCACTTAGAAGACATTAATATCCTTAACACCGGCCAAGAGACTAAGGACAGGCTCATATATTCTGTCAGTGGCCATGTGACAGGATACAAGCTTTTTGTTTCTATTTCTTTTTGGGGTCTATTTTGTCAATGTTTAAAGAAACTAAAATATTCATGCCTTTTAGTCTAATTATTCTACTTCTAGATATCAATTGCAAAGAAACAATCAGAACTAAGGATAAATATTTATTATAAGAGATGTTTACTGCAGGCTTTTCATAGTCCCCTAACCCCAAATTCAATTTGCTTCAATATCTAATAACAAAGGGCTGATTAAATAAATAATGAAACAACCAATTAAGAGACATATTAGAATACAATTTGATTAAAATCCCACAATAATAATTCTTTTGAGAGCAAAGACTGTTTTATTTTTTTCTTTTACTTCCTAAATCACTGTGTAAAATGCCTAGCTTAAGGAATCTTCTCAGTATACGTCTGCTGAATGAATAAATGATTGAAAAAGTGAATGAAAATCACCCTCTGTCAAAGTGTTCAGAAATTGAGCTTGGCATGCTGTTCTTTGATGTGGAATCTCTTTGAGACTAGTTTATTACATAGAAAGCTGCATATGCACAGAAGAATATATAAAAAAGGAAGAGTAAACATAAATTGGTGCTATAGAAACTGAAACTATTCATTATCTTGGATGGTTTTTAATTTTCAAGATAATTTCAATGCTGAATTACTTTGTTTTAGATCAGTAAGTCATTCATGCAAGGAAGCACTGCTGTGGCCATTAGAATCCCACAGTAAATTAATGGGTGCTGTTTATTTTTAATTACTATAGGGAAGAAGGTTTTTAGCTTTTTAGAGAAAATCAAAACCAGTTGAACACATCTTGGCCTCATATACTTTGCAATATAAGTATTCTTCAATTAAAGCCATTCCATTAGTCCTTGAAATCACTGTATCATGAGCTTGCTTCTAATAACTAATATATCCCACCTCAAGTGTTAATGATGAGAAGAACTTTTACTTAAGTGCTGGAAAGTATCCTCACTTAATAAATCCAAATATTGCTTACCTTGTTAAGTGGAGCATTTTGGATAAATTTCTAGAGAGAAAACAATTATAAATTATAAATTGTTTTCTCTTCAAATAACCACTTAACAATAAAAGGAATGTGTGTACAAGAGAATACATATTATATATTACATTGAGTTCATTAATATATAACTTTTCAGGCATTCACTGGAATTCTTAGGGTATATTTCTCATGGATAAGTAGGGCTGCTTAGGTGTATGTACATGTTCATAGCATCTGGGACTATAATAATTAGTTTTCTGTTGCTGTGATACAAAAAAAAAAAACCAAAAACCATGACCAAAGCAACTTATAGAAGGAAGAGTTTAGTAGGGTTAGGGTTCCAGAGAGATATTAGTCCATGATGACAGGGGAGGCATGGTAGGAGGAAGCAGCAGCAGAAAGTTGAGTGCTCAGAGCTCCCCCAGGAAACAGAAAAGGAAGGTGAAAGTGGGAGGAGTTTCCTCCAGCAAGACCACATCCATCTCCTGAATGTTCCATGACTTTCCCCAAACAGAAATGCCAACTGACCAAGCGTTCATATACTTGGGAGATATGGGAGACATTGTCATTCAAACTACCACAGGGGCTATTTTACTGGATCAAGGGAGTGTGGGATCTCTAAATAAAACAATCTAGTAACTGATGTCTGTGTGGCCTAACTTGTCTCTTCCTCCTTGATCAATTTACCTTAATTTAATAAGAATGTTTTGTTCTAGGAAAGTTGCTTGGTAGTGTCTACTTATGAAGTAGAGAAGGAGTCTAAAGAAACAAAGAGGTTTGGTAAATGGGAATGCAACTGATTTGGAGTGGAAGTGAAAGCATCCTACAGTGAAATGAAATAGAAGGTGATGATAGCATAAGTATTAAGAGCAACTATAATAAAAAACTTTCTGCTCATTAGTAGTATCAAGAAGAACCATGGATGTGAAGGTGCTCTCCCTGGGTGTGGAAAAACACAGTTACAAAATAAATCCAACACAAAATTATACCTGCCAGAGTCAAGATACTTGTGATGCAAAACAATAGCACCATAAAAACACCAGTGTTCTGCGTGCTTCCTGGATTTACTTACATAAGATGGTGTTACTCAATTATTTCCAAGCCATTTACAATACTTCTTCTCTATTATGCTTACTAACATTTTACATAGGATTATGGATTTATGTGTTATCTCTCCCTGCTAGAATGTATACTGTACATGTTGCCTTTCTTATTCACTAGAGTATCTCCAGAGAACAAAGTGCTCCACAAATATTTGTTAAATAAATGACAAATGACTTTAGAATAGAGTGAAAAATAATACCACAAAGATAGAATAATACTGTGGAAAGCATGATTCTAGAAATGGATTGCAAATAAGCTTGTATGTTACCTTAATTTGCTTGTGTTTACAATGGGATGAATGAGATATACCTCAACTATGTTGAGATGAAGATTAGTGAGCTGGAACCACTATAAGGGAAATTCTCTACTCAGTTTCATCTCTGGCATGAGATTATTTGTTATTGTACTCTTTTGTTTTTTTGAAACAAGGTCTCCTCAGAGCCCCAGCTGGCCTGGAAGTCCTTAGGTAGACCAGGCTGGACTCAAACTCACAGAGGTCTGCCTGCCTCTGCCTTCCAAGTGCTGGGATTAAAGGTTTATATTACCATGTCTGGTATTTTTTTATTTGTTTGTTAAGCAGAGCTTAAAAGGTCATTCTAGTAGGGGCCTGGGAGGAAGTAGTGCTGAGAACAATGTAGTTCTAGAGGGAAATGAGGACTCAAGCAGCAATTAGGATATTTTGGCTATTTTGGCAGAGTCTGGCTGGAGTCTGCCCATGGCCAAAATGCTTGCCTGAGGCTAAACTGAAAAGCAATGGACTAATTTCTCTGGCTGAAGAAATTTCTAGACAGCCTAATATAGAAACAATGGCATGGATATTAATGGTGAATATTATACAGATTTACAGTGAAAAAGAGCAAATGGGGCAGAAAGAAATACAGAATGTACAGTTTGGATTGAAAAAGAGCACTAGGAAAATAAATTTTAGAGCTGAGGCCTGTGCTAGAGAGGATCCCTTTGATAAGGAGATTAAAGGAATTAAGGAGAGGCCTAGAGATTTACACTTAAACAATGGAGAGAGCACCTCCAGGGCAAGACCAGGCACAGCTAAGCCTCCAACTGGTGAAAGAAAAATGTTACAGGGACAACTGAAAAGCTTCTAAAATGGATAAAGCAGGCTGGGGTTCATCCCAACCTTGGGGTCAAACAAGTGTCCTTCACTTGGTACTGGCTTTAAGGCATGAAAGATGCAAGAGTGAAGGGGTCATCGATCTTCTTTGGCCCTTTCAGAGAGCCACCAAGGACAGGCAGCGTGCAGCAGGGGTTCCCTTGCATAAAGAAGGCCCTGAAAGGCCATTTTGTGAAGCTGTGGAGGTGAAGCCTGGTTGGCAATGGAGACCCCAAGATCATGTTTGTGATGCCAGAGCTGTGAGGCATCTGCCAAGATGACATACAGGGAGCGGTACCAGCCCAAGGGAGAGATGTATTCTTCACACAGCAAAGCTGCAGAGGGTGAGTCATCTAAGCTGGTTGGAAGTAAAGTCCCCGAAGTAGGACACGAAGCTCCTGAATTTGTTGTTTCTCCTGCTGGTTTTCAGTCTTGTTTTGGTCAGGTATTTCCTCACTATGCCTCTAATCCTCCCTTTTGGAATGGGAATGTGTATTCAGTTCCATTGTATATTGGGAGTATGTAATTTGTCTTTTGATTTTATCAGGGCTTACAGTTTAAGCAATTTCCCTGAGTCTCAGAAGAGACTTTGGACTGTGGACTTTTGAATAGTATTGAAATTGGTGATGACTATGGGGACTTTTAAGGTTGGACTAAATGCATTTTATCTTTTATATGGTCATGATCCTATGGGGGCCAGGCGGTTGAATGTGGTGGTTTGAATGAGAACGTCCCCCATAGACTCCAAGTATTTGGACATTTTGTCCCCAGTTGGTGGTGCTGTTTTGGGAGGTCTTAGAAGGTATGGCTATGGTGAAGGATAACATCACTGGGGGGTGGAGGCTAGAGAATTCTTAGGCCTTGCCAGATCTTGAGTCATCTCTGATTCCTGTGCCTGCTTGAAGATGTGAGAGCTTAGCTTCTGCTCCTCCACCCATCTCTGCTGCTGAACCTCCCCACCAAGATGGACTCTTGCCTCTTTGGAACCATAAGCTTAAATAAGCTCTTCCTTTTATAAGTTACTTTGGTCAGTGTTTCTATCACAGCAGCAGAAAAGTAATTAATACAGTTTCCTTTCTTATCACTAGAGTATCCCCAGAGAACAAAGTACTCCACAAATATTTGTTAAATAAATGACAAATGACTTTAGAATAGAG